TTGGGGAACCAGGGAACCGGGGAACTGGGAATTGGGGAAGAAATGGTGGAACTGGGAACCAGGAGCCCCTTTCTTGGGATCATCTCTCACCGGGTCCTGCAAATCCCACCTTTTGGCACCAAATCCCTGTTTTCCAGGTCACAAATTCATCCCAAGCCTCATTTTCCCCCCCTCTCCTCATTCCTGGGAATCCCCCTGATCATTCCCGAGCCCAAACATCCCAAACACAGCAGAGGGAAAGGAGGAGTTTTATCCCAAAAACCCAACGCTGGGTGAGATTTGGGAATCCTAAGGATCCCAGAGGGGGATTTGGGAAGAGCCAAGGGTCGGGATGTGCCGATCACCCCCTTCCCAACCCTTCCAGGGATGGATCCACCTGGAAATCCCCGGGAAGGGCGGGGGGGGCTCTGCCCGTGCTCGGCTGTGCCGGGGGAGTTCGAGCCGAGTTCATCCCGGAGTTTTATCTCCGGAGCCGGAGCCAAATCATCTCCACATGGAGCAGGGGGAGGGAGTCAGGAGTGGCTGCCAAGGCTTTGGATCCTTCGGATCCGTCCCCGCATCCCACGGAAACCCCAAACTTCAAAGCCAACCCGGCGGCCCCTCCGGCCCCTCATCCCGCGGGATCGCTCCTTCCTTCTCCTCCTCCTCCTCCTCCTCCTCCTCCTCCTCATTCCCTCCTTTCCTTCTCCCACGGAGCCAAATTCCCAAGGCAGGTGCCCAGGAGGGCCTCTGGAAAAGGGGGAAGGGGGGAGACTCCCAGAAAACCCCCCCTGGTTTCATGGGATAAGGGCTGTGGAATCACATCCATCCCAACATTCCAGCTCTGGATCCGTCCCCCCCTCCGGCCGCAGCTGCCGGATTATCCCGCCAGGAAAACGTTTTCCTGGCTCCGGGAGGGAAGGGAGAGAGGCCGGCTGGGTGTCCGGATCCCTCCGGAGCCGCATCCCGGGGATTCATCCCGGGCCAAAAACCCTCGGGAAGTCAAGGCCAGGGATGAATCCTCCTCCTCCTCCTGCTTCCAGGGCTCGGCTCTCCCGGGAAATTCCCAGGCTGGAAAGGGGGGAGAGGTGGAAAGGGACCGGAATGGGGAGGTTTTGTGGGATTTGGGGGGTTGGAGACTCCTCCTCCTCATCATCCCTTCCTCCTCCTCATCCATCATTCCTTCCTCTTCCTTATCCAACATTTTCCCTTCCTCCTCCTCCTCACCCAAAACAATCCCTTCCTGATCTTCTTCATCCACACCATCCCTTCCACCTCTTCATCATCATCATCCCTTCCTCCTCCTCATCCTCCTCCTCATCCAAGGCCTCTTCCCTTCCTCCTCCTCATCCCTGTCCCCTCATTCCATCAAATCCAAACCCTTCCATCCCCCTCTTTTCCCACCCTCTCCCCCCCGGGATCATCCCACCGGCTCTTCCCAAAAACCCTCCCTCCACCCCCCGTCTCCGACCTCCCGACCCCCGGCACTGCCGGAAAACCGGGAAGAGCCCCCGGGAATGCCTCACTTGTCGTAGTCGTGCTTGCAGTAGAGGCGGCGATCCCGGGAATAGCAGCTCCCGGAGAGGCCCTGGAGGCACACGGAGCACTTCACACACCCCTCGTGCCACGAGCGCTCGTTCACCCGCAGCAGGAACCGGTCGGAAATCCGGGAATCGCAGCCGGCACAGACCTCCCCCATCTTGGGATCGGGGCCTGGAGCGGGGGGAAAACCGGGAGAGAGGGTTGGGAATGTTCACCCGGAGCAGGGAGAGATTCCAGAATGTTCCTGAGGGGCTCCAGGAGAGCTGGGGAGGGACCCGGGAGAAAGGATGGAGGGACAGGACACAGGGAATGGCTTCCCCCTGGAAAAGGGAGGTGGAATTTGGGAAGGAATCCTTGGCTGGGAGGGCGGGGAGGGAATGGGATGGAATTCCTGGAGAAGCTGTGGCTGCCCCTGGATCCCTGGGAGTTCTGGGGCTGTAAATCCAAGGGGAACCCCAAGCCCTGGGACTGCAGAAATTCCTGGAATCGTAAAATCTC